TCTTCTTCTTCTTCTTCTTCTTCTTCTTCTTCTTCTTCTTCTTCTTCCTCCTCCTCCTCCTCCTCCTCCTCCACCTTCTCCTCCTCTTCCTCCTCCTCCTCTTCCTCCTCCTCCTCTTCCCCTTCCTCCTCCCCCTCCTCCTTCTTTCTTCTGTAAACAGATCTCTAGAGTTACTCTGCTCAGCTTAGGGTTCTGGCTCCATCAGCATCTTTCTCTTCTATAGAGAGATGATGGTGTACGGTGTACAGAGCGCATCATTGGGTTACTGTGGGAATTAAATGGGTTAATACCTGTACAGTGCTCACTACAGCGTGGGGACTCACTAGACACCTGGACACATGATGGTTGATGGCAGGGGATCTGAATGAATGGTAGGAGGCTTGGGGCTTCCAAAGGCAACTCAGTTCCAACTCGACCTTGTCATGCTGAGGGGGAGGTGGCTTTGGGGAGTTGGACTAAAGATTGTTCTGGATTACCTCACTCCATTACAAGCCAAATATTTGCTTTCCTCCTAAGCCAAATTTCTAGAAGGCCTCAACTTATTTCTAAAAACAAGATATTACTATGTACGCAGCTCTAGTTGGCCTGGAACTCAATTGCTTTGTAGACAAGACTGGCCTTGAATTCACAGAGATCCTTCTGCCTCTGTTTCCTGAGTTCTGAGTATAAGAGTGTGTGTTACCATTCCAAGATTTTTTCTCCTCTTCCTTCTTCTTCCTCTTCTTTTAAATAAGGTCTTTCAGTGCCACTTAGTCCAAACTGGCCTTGAACTCACTATGTAGCCTAGGCTGGCCTTAAGCTCCAGATCCTCCTGTTTTAGCCTCCTGAGTGCTGGCATTACATGCATGCACCACTGCACTCAGCTCTCTTGTAAATCTCTGAGGCTCAACTGGACTTGGGCATCAATGAATAAAAACGTTAGCTTCTCTTGATAGAATCTAAGCCTCAAAGAATTGTAAGTCTTAACTGTTTTGACTGGCACTTTGTATTTAATAGGTGCTTGTGTTTTGTTCGAAGCCCATATCATCTGCAGTTTGTCGCTCTGCTGCAGGCTGGTTTTTGTCATGCCTAAGGAATTCCTGGTTGGGAAGGCCAGCGAGTCCTGTTCTCAATTCCTTCCTGCCCTTATAGGACAGCATTCCTGAGCTGTGAGGGTCTCTTTCAGGGATATGGGTTATGATAAATTACCTAATATACTCAATTGTATGAGTTATCAGAATTATAAAAATGTTTTCTGTCTCCAAAAAACATGGTATCAAAGTGTCTGGCCAGGCAGTGGTGGTGCACGCCTTTAATCCCAGCACTTGGGAGGCAGAGGCAGGCAGATTTCTGAGTTCAAGGCCAGCCTGATCTACAGAGTGAGTTTCAGGACAACCAGGGCTACACAGAGAAACCTTGTCTCAAAAAACAAACAAAACAAAACAAAACAAACAAACAAACAAAAAGTCTGAAACCCTGATATTAGCTATACTTCCTCTAGCTGAATAATTCTAGAAAATTCTAGAAAACTCTTAGCTTCTCTGAGATCCTCCTTCTCTTCCTTTTCCACCTGTTCTTTGAGACAGAGTCTAACCCAGAAGCTCAAACTGTTCTTGACTTGTGGCAATCTCAATTCAACTCTGGATTGCTGGAATTACAGGATGAGTGACTGTCCCGTTCTGAATTGTACTTCTGCAATAAGCTGTGAAGGACATTCAAGCAGGCAAAAATACCATATACATAAAATAAAAATAAAAATAAAATTTTAAGGGGCTGGAAAAATGGCTCAGTGGTTGAGAGCACTGGCTGATCTTCCAGAGAATCCAGGTTCAGTTCCCAGTGCTTACGTGACATCTCACAACCCTCTGTAACCCCAGTTTCAGGGCACCTGACACCCTCTTTTGGATATCATGGGCACCAGGCATGCAAGTGGTACACACACACACACACATGCAAAAAACCCATACACATAAAATGAAATACAAAACAAAAATTTTCAAAGTGTCATGAGGTGAAGTTCAAATGTAGTGTGTATGTGTGTGCATGTACTGTGTGTATGTGTGTGGGTGTGTGTGTGTGACATGTGGCGAGGATTGCTATGACCAACTCCAAGATATTCCTCTCCTTGTCCTGGATAAAGGTGAGTCCTGGGACTCTGGCTTTTCAGCTCCTAAAGCAAACAGCTGTCTGAGCGGTAACCCTGTTCCATTGAGGCTGCAGTCATGGGACAAGATGTATTGCTTACAGAGCCCTTGCACCCAACCAAGCTCTTTGCTGGACTTGAGAGTCCTCTATAGCTGCCCTCTAAGAACTTGCAACACATTTGCCTGCAAAATATTTACCCGAAAAGTCCTAAATACCATGTAAAAGCACCAAGCAATGAGCAGCGCCTCAAAGAAACTGAAGTCAGTGGAGCAGGAAACCACCATGAAGAGCCAGGGCCTTGGCTCTAGGGCTGCGTTTCTTAGAGCTGTTTCCTTGGAGGAGCTTAGAGTCCATCAGTTGGTACAGAGTAAAAGGAGCAAAGCTGTGTGCACAGCAGGGTGAGGAGGGAGGAGGCCTAGGAACATCACGAAAGGGGACCCTGCAATGACCGTGCCCACAGCAACAATGACAATAATAACAATATTGATGATGACAATATTGATAATAAACATTTACGGAGAACTTTGTGTGTGCCAGAGATTTTGTTAAATACTTAAATTTTTCCTACTTTTGAAGTTAACTTTGTAGCAAAGTAAAAGAAGAAGCACACAGAAGTGTACAACCCACCTCAGAGTAGCCAGTATTTTGAGCTAGGCACCTTATCTACACAGTCTCCTCTAAACTTCTGAGGATTCCTATGGCAAAGATAATTCCTATCTGCAGATGGAGAAAAGGAGATTACCCGACACACCACACTGGGAAGCAGCTGAGCCAGGGGTACAGCCCTAGCCCGCCTGGTGGTAAGAAAGCTTACAACTCAGGCATCCTCAGGCCTCCCGGAGATACGAACCCAGCTGTCATCGAAAGCACCATCGTGGTGATGGTCAAAGTGTCAAGGACTTGGATGCATTCAGCTCTAACTTTCCTGAGTCTCTGATCAATCCTGGCCCACTAGCTTGTCAATAGGAGATGACAGTAGTGGTGGCGATGATGATGGTGGTGATGGTGGTGATGGTGATGGTGGTGATGGTGATGATGATGATACATATTCTAGATCACATTTGAGCCTCAGACTTATCCCTTCTACTTTAACCCTGTCCACATACTCCTCCATTCAGGGCAGAAGGATCAGGAGCTCCCACCTCACCTTTTCCCATTTTTGCACTATATGTCACTTTGTTTTTACTCATCTCCCCTCCCCAACCTGGAGTTCACTTGATTGAGATCCAGTTAAAGGATCCCATGGTGTCTAACTGCCTATGCCTGAAAGCTCTCAGTTTTAGGTCTGTTTCTTTGCTCTTGGACAAGGGTTCCTATTCTTGGTGATCTGGTATAAACATGGTCTTCTTTCTTTCTTTCCCCAATTTCCACTAACTTCATTACATATAATGTACATTTCTCCTTAGGTGTACCACTTCTTCCATTTTTTAAAATTTCTTATGAGATGGAAGTTTCTCTATGCAACGCTGGCTTGCCTGCCCACCTCTGCCTCCTCAGTGCTGTGATTAAAAGGTATGGCTACTAATTTTACCCTGGCAGGTTAAAAAGCACAGCAGCAAAAATATTCCTGATATCTTATCACACTAATGCTACTGTAGTATTACTTTGTGTATTGTCAAGTTTCATCTTTCTTTTCTTTTTTGGTGGTGCTGGGGACCAACCCTAGGGCCTTGGGCATGTACTCTATCACTGAGTTGTACATGTAACCCCTCTTCTAGGGTTTTCATGAACATCATGATTTACATAATTTTCATAGTATGACATTCTTCAAGTTTTACTATGACTTTTCTTCATGTTTCTATACTGTTGTGGAAGCATTCTCTCCAGAAAAGATGCTTATAATATGTAGGAAGCTAAAGAAATTTAAGAGTTTCAGGAAGTTCCTGAAACTTACAAGATTCACAAAACCTCTCCTTAAAGTTGTAGAAGCAGTCACAATTGCCTTGGCAAAGAAACTCTAGCCAAGCTGTTTGCAAGTGATGCAGGGAGCTTCAGGTGAGCTTTCACAAGTCATGACTCATGCACCTATAAGTAATCCCACCCTTATGGTCACCTAAATAGCTCTGGTACA